ACGTCCCTGGGGAAGACCAGCAGGGCCCTGCTCACGCAGATACCTGGCCCGACTCGGGCCTTTTGTAGGTACTTTTGAGGTTGCAGGCAAGATGTCCAAGCTCCGAGAGGGCTCACCCTGACATGTCCCCAGTCTGGGACAGTCTCCTGGTCACCTCCCAGGCCTTGGCCTCCCTTGCTGGCCTGGACCCAGGAAAGGGAAGGGAGTCCTCCTTACCCCTGGAGGCCCCAGCAGCTCGGTCCTGAGGGTCCGGGTCACCAGGCCCTCTGCTTTGGAATCTGGCCACGATCAGCCCTTATATAGCAGCCTCCTGGGCCCGGAGGGGGGCGCACCGTGTAATCATGGGATCAGAATTACGAGAGACCGGAACTCTGCAAATTGAGCATTTAGCACCAAAACCACAAGGGCTTGTGGTTTGTGGCTAATTCCAAGACTTGTTGGACCCGGATGGTGTCACATGAGCTGGGCTTTATCATGATTGCTTTTGGTCTGGGCCGTTTCTGGGAATCCAGGGTAGGCCCCAAATGGGCTCTGCCCGTTCCAGATGGATGGAGGGCAGGCTGGGTGCCCCAGACGACACTCAGAGCCAGGGGACCCAGGATCCAACCCTGCTCAGCCTCTGCTCCTCGGGCTGCTGGGGGACCAAGGCAGACGGACACGGCCCAGCTCCTCAGGTTTAGGGCTGATCATGCACAGGCAGGTTTTCGAGGATCTAGACTTTTCCCCAAATATGTCATCATGACATCATCACGCAAACAGCCAATGAAAGAAGTTTCCGGGGGCGACCCGCGTACCCATCAGCCCACACCAGCTGGCCACAGCTGCCGTTTGCCCTGTCGCGTGGCTGGTCATACTGTCCACCTGTCCTTCAGCCCCTCTTTTATTTTTTATGCATTTCAAGGTCAGGTGCGGACACTGGTCTTCGCCCTATGGTTGATCACATCCACACGCACGCGACGTCTTCCCTTCTGTGTCAAGTTCCCAGACTGTGAAATGTAGAGACCCTGAGAGGCCATTTGCAGAGTTTTGACGATTGTATGTCTCTGTGTCACCCACGCTCCTGTCACCACAGAGAGCATCTCCCCAGAAAGCTCCCTGCTTCCTGGTCCCGTCAATCCCGGCTGCCCCAGGGGCATCCACTGCCCCTCCAGGACCTGCAGGGACGCGGCCCAGGCCCTCCCTTGGCATCCAGGGCTGTCCCCGCGGCCGCCCGCTCACTGCCCCGTCCCCTTCGCGGCACCCCCGGGCTCCCTGCAGTCCTGCCCTCTGGGACGTCCTCCTTCAAATTCCACTGGTCAAGTTGTCACCCGCTACACAAAGCTTCCCACAGCGGCTCCCTTTCCTCTGGGCCATGGGGTCCCCTGGGCCCCCCACTGAGGTGGCCTTTCTCCAGACAGACCAGGTGTGGCCTCCCACACAAGTGTCCCACCCTCCCTTGCTCTGGGGATTCCCCTAGGTCCCACCCCCGACTCCGGCCCAGCCCCTGTCCCTGGGTTTTCAGATGCTCCCTCTTCTCGGCCCCCTGCCACCTGCCACTTCTGAGGGACAGAGTGCTCTCTGTCCCCGCCAAGGCTGGCCCTCAGGCGGCACCGAGTCTCGTGTCCCTGACAGCCCTCCCCAGGCCACTTGCTCCTGCTCCCAGGGAGGGTCTCCGAGGGCCCAGCCGGGCTGACGTCACCACCAGCCTCCTCTGTCCCTGGGGCCAGCCTCGCTCGGGCACACAGCTGCCCCGTTGGCAGGGGGCACATCGAGGGCTGCTGTGCCTGCTGCCATCCCTTCTCCGCTTCAGGTGATAAGATGGTGTCTGGGACCGTCCTGTCCCGCAAAGCTCTGAGAGCAGGCCCTGGCCTGCGGTGGGGCTCAGTGGGTGGTGTGTCCTCGCCACCCGGGTCCCTGCTGGCTCTGGGGAGGCTCCGGGGCACGAGGAGGAAGCCCGGGCAGGGCTGCCTTACTGTCCCTGCTGGCACTAGAAGGGCTCTGGGCACAGGCACCTCCAAAGTCACACACACCACCTGCACTACCCTTTCTAGCAGGGTTTCAAGGATTAGGTAGGAAACTTCTAGAATGTTCCTGAAGCCGCAGTGAACTGTAGCCCCTCTCAGCTCCGCCGTGGAAGCAGCCGCTTCTGCAGAGGAGTCAGTTCGGCCCCACCTGCCCTGAGCATCACCCGCACGGCTGACTGTCCTTCTCTGCACCTGTGCCCACCCGTGAAACAGGAGAGGGGCGGGCACCTCGCGGCCACCATGCTCTCTGAGTCCTCTGACCCGGGGCTCCTCGTTTAAGGTCCCCTGGCTCCCTATTGCAGGGCACTTGGCGTGACGAAACGGCTTGCTGAACAAACATTTCACCTTCTAAACCAAAGTAAAACGCAGAGGGGCCTCTCCCCACCTCCGGGCACAGGGACCAAGTGGCACTGCAAACAGCAGAGGGCAGTGTGGGCACAAAGGGCGTGTCAGTCACCCTCGGCCCTGAGACGTGCCAGTCCCTGGTGGCCATCAGCTGATCTGTCCCCTGGGCTGGCCCTGGCCATCCTGAGAGGATTAGCACAGCCCTGGCGCCAGGGAGATCACCCGGGCTTAGCACCCCAAAGGCCCCTTTGTCTGGAGCTGGGGAGCCTGTGGGGGCTGGACGGAAGGACTTCCAGGTTCCCTGGGAGGTGATTCACCTTGAGGGTGACTCAACTATGCAGGGGGCCAAGTGGGCATGTGTGGGGTCACACAGGGGTTGCTGAGATCGGGAAACAGACCCACATCCACCACTGGCCCCTCCCTCAGCCCCGCCCCCCTCATAAAAGGGGCTCTGGAGCTGGGGGAGCTGAGTTCAAATCCCAACCTGTCACTGCCTGGCTGTGTGGCCTTGGTACACCACTTAACCTCTCTGTGCCTCAGTTTCCTCAAATACAGGGTGAAGGTAAACACAGTTCTTAGAAAGCAGGACTGATGTGAGAAGTTGGTGACATAATGCACTTAAAGCTTCTAGAAGCATCTGTGAGCAGAGTCAGAGCAGCAAGGGCACTTTTGGAGCAGCGACCTGGGCTCTGAAATCAAGGTCATAAATACTGCTTAGAATTCTGCTCTCCCCCTTAGGAGCTCTCTTGATTCTGCTTCTCAAAGACTCAGTTTCCTTACATGTAAAATAGGATGTAAAGCATCTGACACAGTGTCTGGTATACAGTAGGTACTCAATAAACATCAGTTGCTCTCACCACTACTCTATGCAGGTACTGGACTCACCATGGCATAGCTCTGTCCCTGACCTTGAGGAACTCTAGGTCAAGTGGGAGAATCAGACAGGGCAGTGGCAGGTGGGGCCTAATGGAGGGTCTGGCTCACAGGGCCCCACTCTCACTGTGGCAGAGTAGGTTTCTTACTGTGGCTTCTTATAAAGGCCAAGTTCACCCCCCCTCTTCTCTCTCTCTTCCCCTTTGCCCTTCTGCCTTCTGCCATGGGATGACACAGTTCAAGAAGGCCCTTGCCAGATGCTGGTACCTTGATCTTGCTCTTCCTGGCCTCCAGAACAGTGAGCCAATAAATTTCTTTTCGTTAGAAATTACCCAGTCTCGGGCACTCTGTCGTAGTGGCACAAAACTGGCCAAGGCAGAGCCAGAGGAGCAGAGGCAGTTCTGTCCCCTCCATGCCCACCCAGGGGCCTGGTTATAGGCCTTGAACCTGACCCGGGGACTTGGGCCACTTCCTGTTAGAACTAGGATCCTGTAGCTGAGGCTGTCAGTGGACCAGAATGTCACATGAGGCCAGGGGGTGGGAGAGCCGGGGGATGGGGAGGAGCCGTAGGAGGAGAGGAGGTGGCACGGTGCTCTTGCTGATGAGGTGCCTTCCTGGGCGCTGGTGAAACCCTCACGACCCTATGACTGCATCTTCCTGGGTGACCGGTGAAGACACTAGGACTCAGATGACAGTGACCTGCTGGATGTCACATGGCCGTCCAGCAGCCGCTCACTGAACCACGTGGGAATCAGGAGCCCTGGGAGAAAGGATTCAGTGCTGACCTCCAACGCGACATGCCCACAGGGGCGGGTACCAGCCACATGGAGGGAGGAAGGTCACAGAGGAGGGAGAAGGGAGGGACGATGGCCTCAGGGCTGCTCTTCCTGGTGGACAAACCTTCAGATGGGCTCCAGCCCTCCTCTTCCTGTCCCAGCCCAAATCCTCAGAGCCAGTCACCAAGATTTCAGGGGCGCTCTGCCCTCAGGCCCACCCCCAGGTGCCAACAAGGGGCCACTCCTCACCAAGGAGGCCCGTCTTGAGCAGCAGACTGCACCCAGGACCCCGAGGCAGAACCCAACTCTGCCTCCGTGTGGCCTGGAGCCAGCCAGGCCCTGCTGGGAGGCAGCTGTCCCCATGCACCAGGGGCTCTTTCCCTATGGGCGTGTCCACGTCGGCTGTCCAGCCAACAGGGGCCTCCAGGACAGCGCCAGCCTCACTCATTCCCGCCTCCTGGAGGGCCGGCTCCTCTTCTCCCTGGAGGGCTCACAGCCACCCTTCAAAGTCCAGCTGAGGTCCTTCTGAGAAGTGTCCCCAAGTCAGAGTCAGAGAGAGGCGTGGGCTCAGACAGACTCAGAGCCAAAGACGGAGAGATGGAGGAAGAGGAGGAAGAGGAGGAGGGGGACGGGAGGAGAGAAGGGTCAGGAGGAAGGCAGGACGGGCACAGAGGCTACCCAGGTCAGCCAAGGGCTCCTCCTGCAGCTGGGGAGGACATCAGAGGCCGAGGCTGGGGCCAAGGTGCCCCGTGTGACTGGGGAACAGACCAGTCGGAGGCACTGAGATGGAGGAGCAGTTTATTGAAGGCTTGGGACTCGCACTGAGGCCTGGGGACTCTCTGAAGCAGTCCCAGCCCAGGCCGAGGCCAAGCTGAGTGGACCTGGGTGGATAGGGACACTTATACTGTCACCAACACAGACGAGAGACCGGAGGGAAGCTGAGGAGAGAGGGCAGGTGGACAGGGCTCTGGAGGTCATGAGGCGGGTGGAGGCCACTTCAGTCTCAGGACGCCACCGTCAGTACAACAGCATTCTGCCGGGAGCAAGAGTGCTCAATGAGGCCCTCTGGACCTCGTACCCACGTCCCTGCCTGGGCCACCGGTTATCCCCACCTCCACCCTGGCCAGCACTGATGGCAGTCACTCCTTGAATGACTGCGTGGAGAAATGCAGAAATGGTGGATAAGGGACCCCCCAGTGTGGGACAGGTTGCTGATTTAAGAGACTTAAGTTCAAGTGCCATTTCTGCCACAAGGCTGGGTGACCTTGGGCCAGAAATTTGATTTCCCTCTGCCTCATCTGGAAAAGGGGGACCCCTGCTCTGCCCACCTCCCAGAGCAGTTCCAAGAATCAGAGTTTTGCTGGTTTGATCAGGATTGTGAGGCTGTGCTAATCTTCAGCAAGAAAAAGTGGCACAATCTATTGGTCGTGTCTGTCACTAGCACAGGATAAGGGAGGAACAGCACAGGTCCTCGCTACCCGTGGACCAGCAGAATGGTGACTCCGTGAGGAAATCTGAGCTTCCATTTTCCTGGGGAGACAAACTAGAATCCAACAGAATTTGTCTACCCAGGGCGGATTCTGATCGATTGGTGATGTCTGCCAGGGCAAGCTGGTAAGAAGCGGTACCCGCGTGCCACATAGTCTCCATTCCTGAGCTAAGCAACTTGTCATTCTCTGAGACATTTAGAAAATGATGGAAGGACCGAACCCAGAGGACGAGGTGGAGCATTGCCCCAGGAGTGTCAAACAGGGCTGTCCCGACACCAGCTTAAGGCCCCTCTGCTTGGGAAGCTCACCTCAATGATCTGCAGAACCGAATTGGCAAAATTGACATTGAGAATCTTGGGCAAGGGAATTCCAACCGCCAAGTCCACTGTGAAGGAGGAAGAGTTGGAAAAAAGAAGCTGTGGGGAGGGCAGTCTCAGAGCCAGGGAGGCTTGGATCCTGCTGACCTTATTCTAGAACTTTCCTTGGACCAGCTCATTCTCTTCCTATGAGCAAACTCCATTCAACCTCCTACACCCCAACAAGAAAGTCCCTTTTCTGTATTGTGTCAGTGGCTCCCCTCAGCCAAGCCCCCCACAGCCTCCATCAATCCCTTGCCGGCCCTGGGTCACCTATTTGGAATCGCGTTTCACGGTTACTTCCCACTGGGATGGTGGGTGCTTCTGGCCGGACCCAGCTCAGCTCAGTTCTTGGGGCCTGGCCTGGTGTGGTGCAGGTGCGAGTCAGTGGGGTGTGAGTGGAGAGGGTGGCGCCCTGGTTCCTGCATCTTACGAGTGGGGACCGACCCCTCTCAGGCTTCCGTGTCCCCATCAGAGCCATGGGCAAGGCAACAGGTCAGACATTCTGTGACCAGGAAGAGAGCAGAGGGGACCGTACCGTTGAGCTTCTGCACGTAGGTGGCCTGGAGCACATCGCTGAGCCATTTCTCCAAGCGGGAGACCTGCAACAGAGCACGGCAGCGCTGGGCCGCGGGGAGCAGCCCCCTTGCCCAGGGAGGGACGTCCCGAGGCCCCGCTGAGCCTCCCCGAGGCCTGCGGACGCAGCTCCTGGTGCTCGCAGGGCCCAGGGTGTGGACAGTCCACCACGGACCCTGAAGGGGCCTCTGGGAGTGAGGCTGGCTTCACCCTCCACCCATGACCCAGGTGTCCTCCTGGGAGGGTCTGCGGGGCCTGGAGTGGCACGTGGGGACATGGAGTGCCCGAGAAGAGGGAAGCGTCCTGGCTCCTGTGAAACCGTGGGGTCTGATCTGAGGCTCCTGTCAGTTCAGGGGCCTGGGAATGTTCTAGAACTTGGGACCGTCTCGAGATTCCAGAGCCTCAGAACTCTGTGAGAAGCAGGAACCCGGGGCCCAGTGGAGCCCGGAGTGTGAGAATGTCCTGAGTTGGGGACCTCGTTCCTTCCGACCGTCGGGCCCTAGAGGTCAGCAACTCTGAGGACCCAGGACCTCGAGATTCCCTTTCCTGAGATGGACACGGTGACCCCCACAGACGGGCCACACACGCCCTCCCACTTGCCCACTGTGGCCTGTTGGAGGAGAGGCCAGCTGAGGCCGCTCAGACAGGCTCGTGACACGTCCCCAACTCCTTCCCATGCCCTGTCCAAGACCCTGACCTCCCCAAGCTTCTCCCGCTCCCAGGAACTTACGTCGAAGGAGTTGGTGATGGATGAGGCCAGCTTGAGGCTGAGCCTGGCGGAGAAAGAGGGAGGCTGGGCCTGCGGAGGCGCTCTGCCCCGACCCCCCGCCTGCCCAGGCCGCTCTCCGGGATCGGAAACGGGGCTCCGGGGCCAGCACGGCTGCTAGCCAGCCTTGCCCAGGGCTCAGTTTTCCAATCTGCAAAATGGACTGGAAGGGACATGACGTCTCTTCTGGGACGTCACAACCACCCCCTCTGACCCCACGGCCTTGGAGCCAGACCCTGGGTCAGCGAGTGGCCCTCCCCAGACTGAGCACTGGACACAGGAGGCCCCATATACAGCAGGTGCTCACTAAAGGCAGCGAACTATTGAAGGATCACAGCTGGCCCTCGTGCAGGTGGCCAGGGCCTAGACCCACGTCCCCACCTCCTGACGGCCTGGGAGGGGAGGCCGAGGCCGCAACCTGCTCCCAGGGCCACCTGCGACGTGAGCCGGGGCCACAGAGGGCTCTGCTAACTATAAAGTGCTGTGCACGTGTAAGGAAGGACCCTCACGGACACTGTCACCTTAGCTGTCATGACTGTCATGATGCCGGGTCACCACAGAGACGGGAGGTTAGAGAAAGAACTGGTCAAAGGAGAGGCGAAGCTTTGGACAACACTCTGGGACCACTGTCCCCAAGGCCAGCCTCTGGGGCTGACACAGCAGGGCTCTGGGCTCTGTGTCCTGAAGGCAGCCGCGGCCCCCAGGGCAGAGAAGGGGCAGGGGAGGCGGCCCCCAGGGCCCTCTCTGCCCCCAGCTCCTCCCCCGCAGAGTGGCCACACCGTCCCCTCCTGGGCTGACCCTCCCATGCGCCACAAACAGCAGGCGGCCCTGTTCTCGGGTGCCCCTAACTCTTGTTCCCAGACACAGGAGAAAGGCCCAGTCCCCAGGGCCCCACGTTACCGTTCCAGGGACAGGGAGATGTGCAGCTTGGTGGCCGAAGGAGCCAGCTGGGCTTTGAGGGTCAGCGCCTGCGTGGGGAAGCGCACAGAACCGGGCAGGTCCACCTGGCGGCCGGGGCTCTGCCACCTCTTCCCCACACGAACCCGCCGAAGCCCTACTGGGCGCTGGAACCGGAGCCAGGATCGGGGCTGCGGGGACTGGAGGGCCCCCCTCCAGCCTGCAGGTGGGGGAAGGCGCCCCCACCAGGGACGAGGCGTGAACAGAGGGAGGCGAGGGCGGGCCCTGCCCCAGGTCAGCAGCGGTCCGCAGGCCAGGTGGCCGAGGCAGTGGGCAGGACGCCAGGCTCAGAGCTGGGCCTCGGGAGTCGGGTCAGGGGGCAGCAGGGGGAACCAGGGAGAGGGCTGGAGGAGGCACACTGGAAACGGGGGCGTCCACGAGAGAGCTGAGCAGGGAGGCCACAGAGGTGCGGCTACTCCTAGGTCCCCAGAAACCAGAGGGGACAGGCCTGGGGCCGGTCAGAGGTGCAACCAGAGCCACAGGCGTCCAGCCAGCTGATGACGGTGACAGGGCTGCCCCGCATGGGGCCTCCATCTGAAATCAGGGAAAGGCCCCCAGGGCCATGCAGGACCCAGGGCCAGGTCCCCTCCTGCCTGAGCCACTGACCCCATTCAGCTCGAAGAGGAATTCGGGGCTCCCTCCAGGGACCGCAAACAGCACGCGGATGCTAGCTGGGATGGAGACGGCGGCCTTCTTGTTCTGGAGCTTGACGATGGGGACGTCCTTCACCCGCAGAAAGAGCAGGAGGTGCTGGCCTGGAGGCAGCTTCCCCAGGGCCTGCGGAGGGACAGGAGCAGAGCGGGGGCGTGAGGGCCGCCGAGAGGCCCCGACTAGAACCGATCAGTCAGTCAACAAACACTCCTCGAGCAGCCCCTGGGCCCCGGGACTGTGCTGAGGTCCTGACCCTCACAGGCCTTATCTTGGCCTCCATGAGGCTGACACTCAGGTGGAGACAGACCTGTAGAGCCACCAAGGCCGACTCCTTCACTCAGGAAGGGGCAAAACCCTCCCAAGGCACACAGAGCTCGCCTGGTGCACCCCCTGCCTCCTGCTCATCTCGCCTCACCCTCCGCTGCTGGCAGCCTCCTCCCGCCTCCAGGCTCACTGGCCATGGGCAGTTCCTCCAACCTGCCACTCTGCTCCTGCCTCAGGGCCTTTGAACCTGCTGCTGCCTCTCCTGGAAATGTCTTCCCCAGGTGACTGCATGGTTTCCTCCCTCCCCTCTTTTGTCCTCTGCTTAAATGCCACCTCAGTGAGGCCTTTGTAAAAAGCACCAGCCCACACTCTGACGGGCTGTAACCAATCCCTCACCCTCCTGTACTGCTTGCAGTCTGTCTGCAGCCCCCAGACCCCAGGGCTTGCCCGATTTTCACTATTGTTCCCTTTTGTGTCCTCAAGGGCAGGTGGGGCTTGAACCAGCACGGGGCACAGGGCCTGGTACTAGGGGGCTCAGCTGACATTCGTGGACCAGCTAAATGAATCATGCAATCAGGACATCCGAGTCCTTAGTCACGCCTCGTAGAAGTGACAGGAATTGTGGAATCACAGGAGGACACTCCCAGCTTGGAATGTGGGGCTCCGTGGCTCGAGCCCAGGCTTCCCGAGGGGCAGAATCAACCAGGCCAGGAATCTCCAGGTCCACCCTCATGGTCCACAGAACCTGAAGCCACAGAGCGCCACTCAGAGCTGCAAGACTCCAAGGGCTCAGGCTCCAGAGAGGAGCCCAGCCTCCCTGCTCCTGAGGGGGACACTGTCCAGCTGGCTGCACCCACAGATCCCCACCCTAGCTGCCCCTGCCTATCCCAAGGCCCTCTCCATCATCTTACAACTCCAGCCCTCAGAAAGTTCTTCTGAATGTCTAACCCCAGTCCACTCCTTCCCTAAGACTCCTCCCATGCCCTTTAGCCAAGGGACTCTGAGAAGTTGCAGCCCCAACCTTAAGCCCCAAGGCTGCTTTCAATCACCACCTTCAAGAGCTCACAGAGTGGATCCTCTGCACCCCCAGACATGGCTGCCACCTGCATCCTCTTGGTGAATGCCCGAGCTCTCTGGCCTCTGTCAGAATCTGCTTTTCTATAAGGACCATGTAGTAGTCATTTCTACTTTAGTCCGAATTCAGATCCTCACAGTTGTAAAGCGGCTGCTCCAGCCTCAGCTGAATGAATGGGAAAGCTGAGGCCGGGCCCTGGGACCATGTGTTAGGCCTGCCTCCCTGCCTCCCTGCCTCCTGCCTCCCTGCCTCCCTGCCTCCCTGCCTCCCGCCTCCCTGCCTCCCTGCCTCCCTGCCTCTTCTCCCTTTTCTCCCCTCTCCAACCAGTGCCCCGCATCTTCTCACTGGGGAAGGAGGAGACAAAGATCAAGATGAAGTAAGGCACTTGGAGGAAAGAATCTCCTGATCTCTGCCTGGTAGAGGAGCAATAGCCGTAGAAAAATGCCCGGTTGGCTCCTTGGGGCCGGAAAACCTGGTCCTTCCCTCTCTAAGCAAAACCTGCTATCAGGAAGGGACGTGGTGTCAGTCTTTCACACTGTAGTATGAATTTGGATTCAGCATTCCCCACAGCTGCTGGAAGGTTGTGTTGAGAACGATTCTGGAGGCCACTCAGCCTCAGTGGGGGAAGGAGCTACAGCGATCAAAGCCCCTGAGAGGGCCACTCACCTCAGGGGCCAAAGCTGCCAGGTCTGTGGTTGACAGTGGAACGTTGTTGGGAACCTGGGCCGGAGACCAAATGGGAGAGAGAGTTGGGGTGAACACAGAAACGGGCCGAGGAGCCCCTGGGCACATGGAGCAGTTGTGTCCCTCCCTCCCCATCGCCTCCCTGGCACACGTCGTGACAAACACTTGGGGTGATTCTGTGAGTCCGCGATTCCTGAGCACCCACCGCACGCCAGGCCCAGGTCGGGGCTTCTCCCGCCTTCACGCACCTCCCTGGACGACGCCTCCTGACCTAAGGCTCTTGTCCAGGGTGAAACTGAGCGGGGCAGGCCGGCGTCAGAGGCCTCAGACTGCCCTGCAGATCGCGGGATCTGAAGGCCGGGGACCCGGCCTCGGACACCTTTGCCTTTTATCCCAATACGAACTTCCTCCCACGTTTACAAACCAGGGGGTTCTATATAAATCTGCATTTCTGCCTAAAAAGGTGGAGAAGATGGTCACCCTGGGCCTGGACCCGCCCCTGGGGCAGCTGAGCGGCAGGTGGCCAGTTCACGATGGCCCCGCATCCCGGGCCCCGGGTGGCGAAGACCCTGCGAGCTGCACAAGCCCCCTTCTCAGAACAGAGCGGTTCACACGGGACAGTCACAGACACGCTGCGCGGGAGGGTCCCAGGCACTCACCCCGCACACCTGCGAGGGCAGAAGCACCACGGGCCTCCGAGGGCCTCTCTCGTGCAACAGAACTCAGGTGCCCGCACCCACACGCACAGGGTGCTCCGCCGCACACGCTGACCCCGGCGTCTCTGCCCGGCATGACTGTGCCCATCCCCAGCTGAAAGACACCTGCTTCCCAACTCGGGGCCCGGCCCAACCTCCCCGAGGCCACCTCTGCTCTCGGGACCCCACCTGCAGAAACCGAGGGGCCAACCTCCTCCCCTGGGCCTGAGCTGCTGCTGGGGAGCCCAAGGAGCTCAGAGCCCACTGCCTCCCGGGAAGGCTGGGGCCGAGAAATGGTTCTGCGCGGGTCTGTGGCCTGGGCCGTCTGACCCACAGGGTGATGAGGAGCCAGAGGGCAAGCAGAGAATCCCCAGGATTCGGAACAAAAGCACAAGCGACCTCCCACTGGCGTAACCCAATCTTTCCAACTCCAGTCTGCTCTTGAGAGAGGAGTGGAAATGTCAGCCACTCACACTTGAGTATAAAATGAGCTTAGACTCAAGAAGGACTCCAAGGTCAGAAGGGGCCTCCTTGCCTAGACCTGTTTGGACCAATCGAAGTGACCCCTGGAGTACTGAGTGGAGAGGGGTTCGGAGGTCTCACTGAGGCTTCACTTGCCGCACAGTGAAGTGGCAAATGTCCTCCCCAAGTACAGAGCCGGGCGCACGCGCTATCAACTTGTCAGCTCTCCCGTGTTACGACGGGTGGCTGGCTGCTTGGTGATGACGTGGCCGGTCAGCTCGGCCTTGCCACGGCTCCCCGGGAGGACACTCACCAGCTCAGGGGTGAGGTCTATGTTGAGGGCACCGTTGGCCTGCAGGAGTCCAAACACAGTGTTGAAGAGGTACAGCGGCACTGTCACCTGCGACGTGTGGTCATCTTTGGGGGGCACCTTGACTGGGACGTGGGGCTTGGGGAAGTCAATGACATCACCAGCTACGCTCTTCACGATGGGCTGCAGGGACATGAAACGGCCCAGGAGGGTCTTTGGCTGCCCACCCCCTGGCCTTGACCCAGCGTCCCCACCCCGCCACACCCTGGGCACAGGGGGGACCTCTGCCCTGGCACTCACGTTGATGTCCAGCTCTATGTACTGGTTGGAGATGAGCGGCAACGTGGCCAGCGAGAACTCCACGGACCCCAGAGCCCCCAGGGGCACCAGGCCTGTTGGGGACAGGACAGACAGATATGCCCTGGGAGCCCGTCCCCAGTGATAGCGGCCCCTGCACCTGCCCAGCGCCTGCTGCTGGCCTAGCGCTGCCCCGATCCCTCGCTTGGGTGCCACTGTCATCGCATCTCACAGAGGAGGAGACTGGGGCCCCTGAAGTCATCAGCCCGAGGCCACACAGCGAAGTGGCAGAGTCAGGAGCTCATCCCCTGACGTGGTCACCCTGCCCTTCACATAGCACCGCGGGTGGAGTTGCCTGCCCGTCCCCTCCTCCTCCTGGCCACATTCTGACATTCTCCAAAGCCCCTTAGTGAGCCCCAAAGGACCCGCGCAGGGGACTGGGAGCTGGGGGTGCTGGGGCCTTGGTCGCCCTCCTCGAGCTCTCTGGGCCTCAGTCTTCTTGTCTGTCCCCTCCTGTGTCTGACCACAGGGGCTCAGCAGATGTCGCTCTGCAGCACCGACACGTGGAGATGGCTGAGGACATCGAGCGCCACCCCTGGCCCTAGGCCTGCACCGGGGTCCCCCAGCCCCCAGGGCAGCCTCCTCAGTCTGACGGGAAAGGGAAGGTCCAGGGCCCTGCACCTCGGCCGCCCTCGGGGCCTGCTGCCCTGGGGTGACAAGAGGGAGGGACAGGGACCCCAACCTACCCAGCGCAGCCCCCAGGAGCTCATTCACGACGCCCAGCACACTGTCCACCACGGGGCACAGCTGCGGAGGCAGGGGACAGGAGCCATGAGCCAGAGCCCCGGGTGCAGGAGCCAGCGCTTTTCCTCTAAGTGACCTGCTCTGTGGTTCTGGCACCAAGGGAAGGCAGAATGTGGGGACAGGTGGGGACACACAGGTGCGGCAGGGAGGGGCCCAGAGGGGCCCAGGCCCATTCCCCCTGTCACACAGCCCCATTAGGAACCCCCGAGGTTGCTGGGAAAACAGGGGACACATTTCCGTGGCCAGCGGGGGCTGTGCCTGAGGAGGCAAAGATGGTGGCCGTCCCTGTCCAGTCACTTGGGCCTACAGCTGGGTTAGAGAAGAAAGGCCCGGGCTGTCTGCAGAGTGGGCTGCCCCAGCCCGGGGCCTCAAAGTCAGGCCGGTCAGGGGAATGAGGGAAGCACAGGGGCTGGCGGGTGGGGACTGGCCGGGTGGGGACAGCCCTGCACCACCGGGTGCCCTGCGGAGCGAGTCCCAGGCAGCCAGGGTGCTGCCAACGGACTCCGACAGCCTCTCTGCGACCCAGAGCTCAGCTTCTGGCCGGAGGCCCCCATTAGGGTCGCAGTGTAGATGCAGCCACACGCCCTTGTTAAGTCCCCTCGGAGGGGGCCTGGTGGGGACCCCGCACTGAGCATGGCCTTCTCCTGCAGCGCTTCTTCAAGCCTCAGGCAGAGTTGCCAGCCCCAGGTCCCCGTCTCCCTGCCACCTGCCATGTCTCCCTGTTGGAGGACCCACGGGGAGCCCAGCCTGCTGAGTGGGGGAGGCCTGACTCTCTCTATGGGACCCTGGTTTGTCGCTCCCCCACCCTCTGTAAATAGCCTTGGGCCACACCCAGCTGCAGCTGCCCCCTGAGGGAAGCCAGGCTTCCCACAGTCACAGGTCACCCCCCCACACACGTTGCCCCCTGGGGCAGATGAATCACAATGTGGAAGAAGATTCCTGGGTGGCCTTCTAGAGGTGATCGCCAAGCACAGGCTCCGCTTAGAACAAGGGACCCCACTTTAATCTAAAGGTCTTTTAAAGAAAAACCAAGTCAATAATAACACGTGGCAAAGACAGGGTGGGGGGAAAGAGGCGGATTTGGGGGCAGGGTCCCTCGCCACCTGGAGGTCTGGGGAGACTCTGCCCACACGTCCCCAGACCAGCAGGCGGTCCATGGGCGCCCGGTGGCTTGCCGGTGGGGAGAGAGGAAGTGCCACCTGATCCTGCCCGAGAGGCCCTACCCACAACCAGGGAGGGGCCAGGCCCAGGGCACTCACCATTCCCGGCAGCACCTTGAACAGCGTCTGCTCCACGACCCCAAAGAGTGGCGCAGGCAGCAGCCTGGGCGGGGAGACAGTGAGGCTACAGTGGCGGCGCGGGGACAGTGTCCCCCTGTCCCCCTGTCTCCCCGACATTGCAGACAAGGAACATGTGGGTCTGGAAAGGCACCCTGGGGTGCAGGGCCGCAGCCCCACAGAGCCACAACCACAGGGCACCCACACGGTGCTGGGCTCCCCTTCCCGCCTCCCTCCCCAAGCCCCGATGGCCCAGAGAAGCAGGACGGAGCCTCTGGAGTCCAAGAAGCTCAGCCCCTCCTGGGTCTCCTCATTCAGGTCCGTCTGGGGACAGGAGCACCAGGGCCACCCTATTCCTGGGAGCCCTCTCAAAGCTGTCGAAGTGTTGTCACTGTTCAGAGCCATTCAACAAACCCGGGAACAGTGCTGGCCTTGGGCTAGAAGGTAGACACTAATGGGGGGACACAGGAAGGGGGCAGGGAGGGTGCCCCGGGAGTGGGTGCCGAGCACCGCGGAAGCCTGGACCTCAGCAGAGACCCACTCCTCTCCATCTCTGCCTCATCAGTGGTGTGACCTTGGCAAGTCCTTGCGCTCTCTGGGCCTCCACTGTCCCATGGGCATGGCATTCGCAGAGTGCAGGGAAGCCCACCCATCTCTGGTGCCCCCCCACAAGGAGGAATGTAAAAGTGTTTTCCGGATAGTCTGGTCCAGCCCCTGTGGTACAGATGGGGACACTGAGGCCCCGACCAGGAGGAGGGCACTCTGAGGTCACACAGCAACTCAGGGGCAGAGCCCGGCCTCTGATGTGCCACAGCAGGGACAGAGCTTGGAGCAGCTGCAGAGATCGGGGTGACCCCCTGGCCAGCTCTGTGAGAGGGACGCAGGATCCCCAGGGGCTGGAGGAGGAGGACGCCCAGAAGCGGGCAGGAGTCCTGTTGGGGGGATCTCAGACTGTCCATCTGTGCAGGGGCTTGACCCCACCCAGGGGGACCGGGGCAGGGTGAGTCCAGGCCGCCCGGGGTGGACCCAGAAGGTGTCTAAGGCCCCCGACGCCCCAGAGCGGTAGGGACAGGGCAGCAGGGCGACTCACCCCGACAGCAGGCTGATGTGGCCCAGGAGTGTGCTGCAGCGCTTGAGGATGAGGATGGGCGTCCCCCGCGGGCTCACACCCAGCGCCACCCGCGACGACACGTTCACCTCGACCCCCAGCTGCAGGAGGCCCCCCAGGGGGCTGCGAGACCGGGCACTGGGGCGTGGCCGGGCTGCCAGGCCCCACCCACCTGGCCACGCCCTGGCCACGCCCACCCCGGTGCAGACTGGCCTGGAGCGGCCTGCCGTGTCTGCACGTCCCTGGTCCCACTCCTCCCACCAGCTCCCCTGAGGCCTGGGCAGTGGAGGGGGTCTGGAGAGGGCGAGATGGGAGTCCATGGGGTCAGTGGGCGGTGGTCTCTGGGGAGGGGAGCGGGACAGTAGGGTGGGAGTCCCTTGGGAGGCAGTAGGTTGGGAGGTCGGTGAACAGGAGGGAGCTGCCCCTAACAGTGCGGTAGGCGCAGGCCCCCAGGGCACACTCACCCAGAGCCGTGCAGGCCCACTTTGGTGTGCAGGCTCAGCTGCACCCCAAAACCTGGCAGCAGCCTCAGCGACACCTTGGGCAGCGTGAGTTCCTCAATCTTCAGCCTGAGGGGGGGGAAGCACTGCTTACCCCAGACCCCGCTCCCCTCCCCACCAGGGGCCAGGACCACCCTGGACCAGGCAGGGCAGAGCCTCTCCCGGGTGGGTCTCCTTGTCACCTTGAACCTGCAGAGCCACCTGTGAAGGCTTGGGCCAGTTACTTTACCTCCTGGCTTCAGTGTCCCCATCTGTAAATTGGGCGGCACTCGCAGGGGTGAGGGAAAGACAAGTGGGGAAAGGGAGTGCAGACCCGTACCTCTCCCACCATCCTCGCCGTAGGCGGTTCTCCCCGCCTGTCCCCACAGCCTCAGCCCTGGTTTGGCCTCTGACCTTGGCATTGCCCCCACCTGCACCCCCCAGGCTCCACATACACACAACCCAAGGGACCTCTGGGACAAGGCTCTCTTGGGTCATTACCCGCTCTGTCCTCCAGGTTCTGCCCAGCTAATGACCTGACTCTTTCCACTCCACAGTCCCTTTCAGTAACCTGGTCCTCCCGGCTAGAGGGTCTCCTCCCCCAGGAAGCCTGCCTTGCTTGTCTTGGCCACAGGGAGACACCCTCAAGTGGCTCCTGTCTCTCTGGGCCGCTCCATCACTGTTGAACTCATGGGATTGTCAGTGGCTCCCCAAGGTGAGGACAATGTCGGGTTCAGGCCCAGCCTCACCCCGCAGGGGGCTTCTCCGGCGGGAGACATATTTAATCCAACAGTACGACAGCAGGTATCAAGGACTCGCTGTTCCGGGCGCTATTTCAACAGCTGTACACAGTGACAACCCCATGAGTAGCTTCTGACAGTGCAGCCAGGGAGGCCACCCAGGTCCCAGCACTGCCCGGGCTTCAGCCTTCTGGGGACTCTCTTGGACATTCCCAGGTTTACCACCGTCCATCGACTGATGTCCCCTGGGCTTGGCCAGGCAACGTGGCTTGTGACACACCCTGACACTGTCCCCTCCTGCCCCAGGTCGGGGAGCCTGCCGAGGACCTCAGTCTCCTCACATGCTAAGCGCAGTTGATGATTGTCCTGCCCCAGATTCAGCAGGACAATTCACTCATGATGCTCAGCACAGTGCCACACACAGAAACCCCGGGCAGCGGTCACTAAGTTCCAGACATTAGCTATTATGTGACATGTCTCATTCACTCCTTCAAAAATATGTGGGAAATGCCTGCTACGTGTCAGGTCCTATTTATGATATGGAGACACAGCAGGGAACCATCCAGATAAAGATCCTACTTACCCTGGTTGGGGTTTATGATCTACTAGGAGAGAAAAAACCCAAACCAGTAAAATGTGTGGTGTAAGGGAAAGTGGCACGTCCCCTGGAGACCTTGAAGGTGGGCGGGGGGAAGGGAGGAGATAATCAGGACAGGGTTCTTGAAGGAGGTTATTTAGGGAGCCATGCAGATACCTGGATTAGCCCAGAGAGGCTAAGCAATCTGCTCTGGGTCACCCAGCAGGTAACTAGAACTGACTCCAGGGTGGGACCTCAATCATAGTGGCCTGTGGCCCTTCTTGTCCTGCCAGGCACGCAGTACAGGCGTTATGTTCCCGCCCTTCCTGCTCCACTCTCACGTCCAATTAAAGAGACCATCTCCCCTCGATTTCCTGAAGCAGGAGACATCCTGTAGGGTACACAGGTGGGCGTCCCCGGGCCCCACAGGGACTCACCCAGACAGCTCCTCCACGACCCCAAAAATCCCTCCGTAGCTCAGAAGGCCGCCTCCTCCAAGCAGCCCTCCTGAGCCCAGGAGACCCTGGTTCACAGACGTCACTGTCCCCAGCACGTTCTGCAGAATGGGTCCCCCAACCAGCGAGTTCTGAATGGCTGCAGAGAGGGCAGGTATAGAAGATGCTAGAACTCCACCCCCGCCCAGGACCTCTCACCCGCCCCTCCTCTGAGCTGCGGGAAAACAATTGTTTGGGTCAGAATTGACCTAGAGTTCACCCTCCAGTGACAGAAACCACCAGAGCCTCCTACTCCAGCCACAGGGCTGGTGACAACCCTCTGCCTGGCACCTGAATCCCATGACCCTCCTTCATGATACAGACGGGTAAACTGAGGCCCAGAGGAGCGGGGACTTGCACAGGACTGTGCAGAAGGTCAACCCGGGGCCCGCAGTGTGGCTGGGGCTCTGGATCCTGGGCTGCCCGGCGGCACCGTGAGGGACAGGAGCCCATGGCCACCGGGGGCTTGATGGCGATGGAGGAAGCCACCCTGGGGCCCCCAGGCCTGGCTCTGGGCAGAGGGGGAAGGGCCGGGTGCAAAGCACCGCCTGGGGGGCTGGGACCGGCGGTGTCCCCTGAAGGTCCCCGTTTGCCCCTCTTCGGCTGCACCCCTGAGGCCGCCCGGCTCACCTTTGCCGAGCTCGTCCTTGTCGATGCGGGCCAGCGTGCCCACCGTCTCCAGCAGCCCGTGGCTGGGCGCGGCCAGGCCCCAGAGCAGAAGCAGGGAGCACAGGCCCAGCATCCTCGGCGCACACCTGCCGGGCGGAGCCGGCCTCAGACGCTCCTCAGGCCCCGGCCTCCTCCTGTCCCCGACCGACAGGCCGCCCGTCCCTCCCAGCGCAGCCGGGGCAGCCTCACCCGCGGGAGGCACCCACAGGAGCACAGCGCCCAACAGCCGCGCCGCTCCGTGCAGCTCCAAACCCGGGACTCAGAGCTGCCTCCCACGGCTTCCCCCCTCGTGGGCCCATTTCACAGATGAGAACTGAGGCCGAGAGCTTGGAGGGGACTCGGCCAAGGCCACCGAGCTCATCAGTGGCGGGGCCAGAATTCCAGGCTGAGTCCACGTGACTTCAGAGCCTTAGTGTGCCCCTGGTGGACCTGGCAGGACCTGGAGACAGCCCCTGAGGGGCCCTCCAGGACAGCAGGGGGGCCCTGGCTCCTGGGCCACTTTTAGAAGGTGCGGCTGATCAGGGACCTGCAACCCTGAGACTTAAAATGTCCCATTTCTCGTTCTCCCCAGCTCCACTCCAAAGGGAAATGGATTGGAAAGTGGGAACACGGCTACATACTAGTTCCCACCCAATCAGACACCGTCTATCCTCCCCTGTCACCTCTGCTGAAACCCTTTGGTGGATCCCCACTGCCTTTGGAAGAAAACCCAGGCTCCTGCCTCTTTGACCTCCAGGGTCTTGAGTATGCCAAGTGCCATCCCACCTCAGGGCCTTTGCTCATGCTCTTCCTTTTGCAAGGAAGGCTCCTCCCTGGGTCATTGCACAGCTGATTTCTTATCTTTCAGTTTCTAAATACTCGTGATCTTCTGGGAGAGGCCTTTCCCCTGTACATGTCTAAAGAAACCTGCCTGGCTCTGAGCACCAACCAGGGTATTTACGTTAAGGTATTCATCACAGTTTGCATGAGCGCAGCACGCGTTAGTGTCCTTGTTTACTGTCTCTGTCGGTTCCCCGGGGCCAGGACTGTGCCTCAGGCCCCCACGCCTGGTTGTGTGCTGGACGGGTGCCGCTAGGGGCAGGGGGTGACTCGGCAGCCACATGCCCTGAGGAGGAGGCACCTTCCCTTCCTTGGCACCAAGGGGCCATGTGGGTGCTGTGTGGCCGGCAGAAGTCTTGGCTTTGTGCACCTCGTTTCACCCAGAGTGTCCCCGCAACCACCGGGGTCTCTCACAGGAGCCCCCATGGTGAGAAGCCAGCCAGGTTCCGCGACTTAGAGAAGAATGACACCTTTGACTCCTGCCCATAGGACCGTCCTGTCCCCAGCCCACCCAGACCCGCCGGGACCTCTCTGGGGCCCAGATCTGTAAGATGGGGTTTCCCTCCTGTCACCACCAGGCACTCCAGGCCCCTCCTAGGGGGACTCCTCTGGGCCCGTCATTCAGAGGGGCCCACAGGAGGCCACAGGGCCACCGCCCGCTGCCTTACCCGCTTGCTCCTGAGGCTCCTCGGGGTGGGTGGGGCTCGGGCCTCTGTCCGTCCCTCCACCAGCCGAGCCCAGGGACAGCCCTTATATGCCCGCAGCAGCTCGGGGACACAAAGGGGGCGAAGCGGCCAGGAACCCGTCAACGCGTCACGTCAGAAGCCAATTGTGGTTTCCCCCGAGGGCCTGGCTGAGCCTTCCTCCTGCAGAGTGGGCCGCCAGCTGGGTCGCGCCCGGGCGGGAGAGGCTGCCCCTGGGGGCCAGGGGGCTGTGCCCCCAGACAGGGCCCCATCAGCCACCCCCAGGGCCAGAATCTTCTCTGCCCCCCTCTCCCCCCCTCGACGAAGGCCCTGGAGGAAGGAGGAGGTTAAGGCCACGGGGCCTTCTGTCCCTTCTCTGCCAGCCCTGGGCCTGGCGGGGCGACGGCCAAGGGCCTCGAGAGAGGGACTCTGGGTGGAGCTGGGGAGGGCGCCCGCTCCACCCCTCCCAAGGCCCGACGTCCCCAGGACTCCAGAGCAGGCAGCTTGGTCCCCTCCTGAGGTGGGTCCGGATGACAGACGTGAGGTGTCCATTGCGTCATTCGCTCACACTGCAGCAGGCAATTAGGGAGCACCTACTGTTTAAGGAGCTGACCACAGACCTTCAGGGCCACGTTTGTTTGTTGGCTTGTTTTGTTTTAAGGTTAAAGGCAAAGGTGAGGTGAGTCCTGCTAGCCTGGTCCCCCGAGCCTGGTCCCCCAAACCTTACCACCTCACGTGTCCAGCATGAAATCCTCACGAGAGGGTCACTGTCTTCTGCTCAGATCTGCTCCCATCACTCCAGAACTTGAGCCTGCCACACTTCAAGCCGCCTCCTTGGGTGGCCATTGGCTGTCCTGGGGGACACAAGGCTCCGGACCAAGCACCCAGGACACGGGGACGTGGGGGACGGTGCTCAGCGGGGCGGCCTGGGAAGGCACCCGGGAGGGGACGCTCCTGGGACAGCAGGGAGGCCCCTGGGGGCGCTGGGGCCGCGGAGGCCAGAGGTCTCGCTCTGCAGCCCGGCTCCGGCTGCCATCCCCCCGCGGCCTGTCGGGCCCCCAGGAAGCCTCCTGAGCCCCAGCTGGATGAGGGGCCACCTGAGTCCCCCTGGTCCCTGTGATTTCCTCTGCCAGAGGGTGACAGGCCAGCCGCGTCTCCTGCAGGGCCCTGGGCCTGTGCCTGGGGAGGTGGGGATGGCGGAGGGGATGCCTTGTTAGCCTCTGTGACCTCTGAACCCCTGGCTCCGCACACCCTGGGGACACGTCCCTTCTGCGCATGGCTCCCTGCACTCCCGCGTCCACAGGGCCCATTCCCGCGTCCACGTGGGCAAGGGCTTGCTGGCCGAGGGCCACTCGTGCCTGGACACTCTATTTGTCCCTGAGTCCTCCTGTCCAGAGGCGCCCAGCCTCCTGCCACTCACAGTGGTGAAGGCAGTTGCCGCGAGTGTGTGACCCTGTCTCACTCAGGTCACTGTGTGGTCTGTTCCACTGGCTGAGGCCGCGGTTCTCCCAGTGGCCTCCGCTCCAGCACTGGGTTCCACCAACACATGAAGACAGTTGTTCACAGAAAGCAGGCTCATGCCTAGCATTTATTGAGCACCAACTGTGTACCTGGCATCTGAGCCATGTGCACACATTTAGTCACCCAGGAGGTGAACGCTGTTATCATTTCCTGCCTTTCCTTAGCAGCGTGGGCTCAGCAAGGGAAAGCAACCTGCCCAGGGCCACACAGCCGTCCAGCCAGGACTCCACACCCTCACTGTCCTGGCCACCACCCGGCCCGGCCCTACTGAGTTTCTGACCCGCCTCATCTCCTCTCCCTTCCGGGCCCCACGGGGGACACCAAGCCCCATCAGCAACCTGGACACCCCCTTGTCCTTGTGGACCCAAGCCGGGTCAGGATGGGGCCTGCCAGGGAGGGGGGTCACTTGACACTCTGGACTCCCCCTTTGCAACCCCGACAGTGGCTGTGGGGGCCCAGGTGCACGTCACCCTGCAGGAGGGGCAGGGTGCGCAGCCTGGTGACAGGCGTGGGGGTGCCATGAGGGACGGTGCAGGGACGAGAGGTGACCCCAGGCATTGATTAGCTCCTGGCTGGGTTTTGCAGTCAGAGGTCCCGGGTTCCAATCCCAGCTGTCGGGGTGGGCTGAGGAGGCGGGCAGGGCAGGTGGGGGCAGGAAGGACGAGGGCTTCCTCTCCCCAGGGCAGGCACTGCCCCTTCTCGCCCTATGAACTTGTGCCTCTGTTTCTCTCTCTTTCTTCTCTCCCCACCCCGGATTCTGGTCATGGATCCCAGGGCGGTGCTCTACTGAGTCACACCCAGCCCTGCGTCACACTCTTTAAAGGATGTCATCGCCTCCCTGAGTGTGGTGTGAAGGATTGAGGAGGAGACAGGGTTCAAGTGCAGTTCTACCTGTGCTGTGTGTCCTTGGGCAGGACGCTTCACCTCTCTGAGCCTCCCAGCCTCATAGGGGAAGGAGGAACAGTGTCTGGGGATGGGACCTCCAACACTGCCCTCAGGCTCCCTTTGTGGACTCAGCCTCGGTTTTCTACCCAGGTGAGTCCAGATCGCTGGCCACTCGAAGGCAGTTGAAATCAGATTCGAGGCCAGAGCATCCAACCCTGAGGTCCAGGAAGAGCCGGGCTTGCCTGAGGCCACTCGGTGTCCAGCATCTGGTGGGACCCAGGCCTCTGAATCCAGCAGCCCTAAGCTTGCTGTCCCACCTGCACTTGGCCTGGGCAGGGTGGCCCTAGGGCTTAAGGTGGCCGTGAGTGTGCTGTTGAACACACCAGGCAGAGTTGGGGACACAGGGGCGTCTCTGGCACTCCCATGGATTAGCCAGGCGACTGTGCCTGCCAGAGTGTCTCAAGGCAGCCATTGTCCCAGAACTGGAGACGATGGGCGATGAGATTAGGGCTGATGCTGAGGGACAGGGGCGGCCTGGCAGGGATTGGGGCCAAACTGGGACAGAGTCCACCTGCAGGGCCTCAGGAGCTTGCGGAGCAACGGCCTCCTGACCAGACGTGGACTCCCCACACGCACAGAGGCACCCGGACCCCTGCCAGAGCCCACCCCACGGAGACCCAGAAATCCTGACAGGTTCACACACCAACGTGTGGACACAGACACACGGACCCACGGACACACAGCCCCACCTGGCAATTCCCACGGGGTCCATGCGCTGCTCACCCAGGTGCACTTTTGTTTCAATGTTACAGATTCTTTTTTTTAAATATTTACTTTTAAGTTTTAGATGGACACAGTATCTTTATTTTACTTTTATGTGGTGCTGAGGCTGGAACCCAGGGCCTCCTGCATCCTGGGCGAGGGCGTTACCACTGAGCCCCAGCCCCTAGGTTTTTTTTTTAACATTCTAGCAAATGAAACTGATTTCAGGGTCTGCAGAGAATACCCATTATAGCTCAACTGTATGTAAACAGACATCCACTTTTAAAAAATGATTTTTAGTGGTCAATAGACATTTATTTATTTTTATTTATTTCTATGTGGTGCTGAGGATCGAACTCAGTGCCTCTCACCTGTGAGGCAAGTGTTCTGCCACTGAGCCCCA